AAATCGAATCCTGGCATGTTTCTTTACCCACTAATTTCTTTATCTTTTACTGTTGTTACATGTTTTTAATGCAATCGATACTTTTCACAATTAAAACCCTTATAAACATTTCTTTAAAATCGTGTTAAAAGTGAAACGACAATGATATCACACTAATCCTTGTGGAGGCGATACAAAAATACATACCCACCTAAATTACATTTTATCAAACTATTCCACAACGGTCTTAGAGCCAGACACTTCAATGAATCCCTCGCCCAGAGATCATCGACGATGTTCGCTGCGGTAGTGGTGTGGGCGTAATTCTACATCAAAGACGAGGAAATTAATGGTGAGATAAAGGTTTGTAATGCAAAAGATCACACCTCTGGAATTGGCGCCTTGAGAAGGAACCATTATGCATCACCTATTAGAGACACAACTGCCTTCAAACAAAGTGAAAAGCCTGCAAAAAGCTTCACGCCTCTGAACACTCTCCAAGAGCAAATATGACGCTAAGTCATTTACATGCACATTATCCCCAACCACCAACACCGAAGGTGGACGTCATAGGACCAAATCCTAATAGTTGATGCAAGTTCCATAAAGTCATGGGTCATCACACTGAAGACTGCCCACAACTCAAGAAGCAGATTGCACACCTTATACAAGAAAGACATTTGAAGAAATATGTCAGACACACCCCCAGTAAAGAGACATAATGGTCTAGCTGCCAAGGGCATGAAGCCCACAAAAGCCCCCGAAACATCCTGCGAAGGGATCCAAGTTCGAAGGAGGGCGACATGGTCGTATGCCACATGCTCAACATCATCGCAAGAGGATTCACCGGTGGTGGAGAAATTAGACCTGCCCGCAAAATAAATGCCCTCCAAGTTCTGATTGTTGACAATCCCTAGCTAGTCACTAGAGAGGCAGCACCATAAGTTCAGGGGGCAAGATAAACTTTTTTGAGGAAGACGCAATCACCATTCACCCTCACAAGGACGACCCCATGGTGATTATCGCTCGATGTGACGAATGGGAAATCAATAGAGTTTGATCGATTATGGGGAGCTTCGTGGATATCCTCTACTAGGATACATTATAGAGACTTTGCCTAGGATTGGAGGATCTTAAGCCTTTCCAAGGATCTTTGGTAGGAATCTTGGGCGAAAGAGTGCAGGTAAAGGGGTACATAAAGTTGAATATTATTTTCAAGACAGGAAAAATGTTAAGCAAGTCAAGTTCAATCACGACAGGAAGAGATTCAATGCAAAATCACTTCCCAATAGGCTTGAGAGACAGAAGATGTTGTAAGGAGTGAAGGATCTCAACACTAGGGCAAACATGGCACGATCTTGAAGATGGAAGCACTAGTTGAGTTGGACAACTGAATGAATAAGGATAAACACTATGTGAAAAAACCTGCAAAAGTTTTCTATTGATGAAATGAACATGTTGCTTGTCTGCTTGTGCAACAGGTATGTTACTAGACGTGTTGTCCCCTTCACATGTTATCTACTACCTAGTACTAGTACGAGAGGATAAGAAATGTGAAATATGTTAATTTCCATGGGTCAAATTAATGGATAATCGCAAGGCCCACGATCCAATGACTAAAGTAAGCCCTACAAGCTAGGAGGATATAAAATGACCACCTTAAAGAAATGAGAGGGGGGTTTAGAAGTTGAGATACTTGAGAAATAACTTAGAAAAACATATCTCGTTTTGAAAAGAAGAAGTCTGAACTAGAAGTGAGGAGAACCTCTCATTTTTTCTTTCTTGAAGAAGTGTTGAGCTTCCAGGCGTGACAAAACTCACCTCTTGCCGATTAAATATTGCAAGATGTAGAAGTATTAAACTTAAGTTTTTATTTTCTTTTCATTAGTGTTTAGAAATGTTCACTTTGAGAACTTGGTTGTTGTATTTCTTTTTCTCACCATGAACTAAACTCTTTATGTTGAGAAATGTGAAGTTAAATAAAAAATAGTATTTTGTGTTAGATGGTATAATTTAAGTGATGTATTTAATCATGTGAGACAATACTATACATTTGTTTCTTTGTCTAATCACCATAAAAGCTTATTAATGATTGAGGGGTCTGTTAACTAGTAAGACTCGTGGTGAATATGGTAGAAAATAATAGGAAATACATATTTACTAAATTAGTCTCTTTAGATATAAAGGACTACAACCATAGGTGAAATAAGAAGTTATACAAGACATGCTTTAATGTTATTGTGAAACCTAGATATTTGTTCCCCTAACTTAATTAATATGCTTTGAAGTTGTAGACATACACCACTAGATCACTTTGTTCCTCATTTGTCACGACAAATTTCATCATTCATACACAAAATATGAAACTCATTAAATTGATCATTTTCCAATATGACTCTCACTATTGATTTAACTTCTTCACTCTTATTAATAATTGCTCTACCTGAATCTATGACAACCAATCATGATTATTATCTTTTGCTCAAAACTATTCACAAAATTTTACGATAATAATTTATGTTAAGTCAATCTCTGAGAGATCAATACTTTTACTTTTACATCAGTTACTACTATATGACACTGTATATTTGCAAATATAAATAGCATAAGAGAGGCCTTGGTATCTTCATTTTCCAACGTCGCGATAATTAGGCCTAGAACCTAGGGAAAACGGTGCCCCATGCCTAAGAACAATAGGGAAATGATCAAGATACGTCATCAAAAATGACAAAAGTAGACAAGTAGCCCAGATCAATTTGCGTCTTTTCAATACAGTTCAACCAAAACAAAAAATACAAGTCGAAGGTTTATGCAGTATTTAAAATTGAAATGCAACGCAGTAAAATGAAGTTGGGCCCATGCCACAGGTCAAGAAGAGAAAAAGGGTCCAGTTAAGGATCAATGAGAACTAGAAAACTCTAACCCCTAAAAAAGTACGCAAGGATGATATAAAATCGCAAGTCATACCCTGATTACGAAGGAGTATGCTCGAGTAATTTTGTTCCTACCCAATCCTAGCCTGCATCTCATCCCAAGAATGGAAGAAGTCCAATAAAGCAAAGATATTTATAGTGGTATTCGTTAATGACGTAAGGCCAATGACGTCAGAAGACGAAATTTCATTCCTATAGAGGCTATCCAAAAGAATGTTCTAGGATCTAGGGGAATAAGCATGGAACCTCCCTTAAAAAAAACATGATCCAAAAAATAAGATTGAAGCAAGACCGTTATATAACAAAACAAATTATATTCTAACATTTGTCTTCTTGGATGGCGGTGATTGGAGCAAAGGTTATATGTCTCTTAAAACCCTAGTAGAACACATATATAAGGGACCACAAACATCAAGTTAAGGTACACACAAAAATTCCCTAAAATTTATGCCTCTCATATTAAACAATCACTAACTTGAGTGTCAGAGTGTTTGAAAGTACCACCCCACTATTTAGCCGAAACAACCGGACATGAAAGATCTTCAGACCCAAGACTACTAATACATGACCATATTCATCTTCGAGGAAAATCTTCCATACAAGAAGGAACAACATCAAACTCCATGAGATAAGGTAGCATCTTAACCATACTATTTCAAAGACACTTCATATTCATCAGGAAGATTGGTTGGCACTCTAATAGTTGTATATTTTCTAACAAATGGCAACTCTTGCTAAATATATTATTTGACCTTTACATAGAAAAACAACTAACATTTTGATCGAAGCAAAGTAGTCCCTGCATCATTGATGTTGGATGTCAAGGTAGAAGAAAGCAATGAGGAAAAATAAAAGTATCTAAAGTTTTACATTTTAGAGACTGTAGCTTGTGAGTTATGTTTGTGGAAGAAAACCATATATTTATATAATGGCTGTAAAAAGAAGCAATAAATGCTAATTCATTTATCAAATCAGTAATCAAAATATCATTTATCAAGAAATAATAGTTATAGGCATCACACGTTAGCAAATTCAACTGCTTAGGTAAAAAATATACTTTTGGGTACATAGATGTTATATGACTGAAAAATTATTTGGAAAATTAACCTTACTATATCCTTATATCTTGGGAGGTGTTCATACATGATAGAAGTGCTACTTTGACATTTAGATTTGGTGGTTGAAATAGTCTGCCATTAGCATTCAAATCATAAAGATCTTTCTTAATAAATTCCATGTAACCTAACCCCCAAAAGGAATTGGAAAAGAAGACTTATCTACATGTCATTTTATCAACCTTTGAATTTTCAAAGCAATACTTAAAGAAACTACCATGAAACCGAGGAAAAAGTGTAGTAAGGGACAAGAAACTTGAAAACAACATCAATCCCTTTTAGACACTAAAATCTAACAAGAGATAAACATTCAAAAGACACAGTATAATGCAAAATGTCGATACCATCGTAGCATATAAGATCAGTGTAGCGTTAACACAAACATAGACATAGACAAGAGCGCAAACAAATGGACACCTAAATGAGCTGTCTAGAATATGTCATTCAGGTGCAACCACAGGACACAACTAAAACAAGCTGTGCTCGTGCTTCGTCGTATATATATTTGCCAATGAAAAGAAAAACATGTCAACAAGATTTTTGTATATGACCAACACTAGTCCAAGAAAAATGGAAACCAATATTAAGATGGTTTTCATATATAAGTGAGACCTGTTGTATAGAAGATGTATGAAAGAAGGCAAAATAACTGATATGTTTAAAAAGTGCCAATCTTATAGTTCAACAATTATATAAGAGAAACAAAAGACTATATTCAATTCTTTTGTAAGAGAAACATATAATTCTACCTCATCTGTATAAACATACCAAACATACGAATTTTCTTCATCTCTATCTGAATAGCATATAGAATGAACAACTTGAACCTCTTCTTCATCCATCCCTATCTATATACACTCTTGTCTATTGAGAGAAACATTTCATGCTATTGACCAAATTCATTACATCTGACCTATTACAATTGTATACTATACATTGTCAACGAAAACGAAAACAGTTCACTTACAGGCCACTATGAACATGTAGCTAAACCATCTTGTAGCAATTGTCTTTCTTGATCCAATGTATTCTTAACTGCTTGATAAAACTCTATCCATGAGCAAGAGTTGGAATCCAAAGGACCCCAGAAAAATGTTGGATTTGGACTTGCAGGGCAAGCAGTAACTAAATCCAAAACAGAAACCGGCTTCATCATCTTCTGTGGAAAATTGAATGCCAAATTATCAACTTTGTGTTCATATATTTTCCCATTTCTATCCAATTTATACCGCGAAGTACCCTGAAATTCACCTTTAGCTTCCCATGGAACCCTAGGCACACCCCTCAAGTTCCACCTGATCAATATCACATTCTCTGAAGGCTGCCAGATTCTGTATACATCCAAACCAATCTCACGAAACAGAATTCTACCATGAAACCTTAATGCCCAGAAGATCAATTTGTACTTCTCAATACCAGTAAATGTGTTCAAAGGGTCCAGGAATGTTACATCATCCCTGAAAAATAACCAAACACAACGTTAAAAATTCAAATTTTTTACACAGAATAAAAACCCTAATTTTCACACAGAAACAACTTAATTCCAATTAAAAACCATATATTCACTTCCAAAAGATGAAACTTTAAACACCCAGATGAGAAAATTACCTATAAATTTCATGATTTTTCTTGTTTGAAAAAATATCCAATTTTTTTCACCCAGAAACAAGATAATTTCAATTAAAAAACATATATTGACATCCAAAAGATATGAGAAAATTACCTATAAATGTCATAGTTAAGGTCTTTAACAAAGATCAAGGGCATATCCTCACGAAGGGTCCTAACAGCAAGACCAAGATTGAGATAAAAATCATCCTTCTGATGCTGATTCTGTTTATCTTGAGTAGCTAATGGTGTATTAACCTGAGCAACCTGTGCAGTGGAAGTTTGAAGTGAAAGAGAAGAAGGGAAGAATAAAGAGCATTGAGAAATGGGTTTTGAAGATGAAAGAGTTTGGTGAAAGGGTTTGTCTCTGATTCTTGATTTGGATTGCGGTAAGAGAGAAAGAGTGAGATTACATAGAAGAAAAGCCATTGATTTTGAATGCTGAATGCAATGGTTTTTCAAAGATATTGGAGAGAGAGAAAGAGAGAATGTGTTGTAGGAAAATTTGAGGCTGTTGTTTTATCATTTTGAGTGGTATTGAATATAGCCATGAAATCATATGAATTAAAATATGTATTGGCTTTCTTTGTAATTTTTCTCCTTCTCACGTGGGCACATAGCTCACATGTTTTATTTATTTCGTTAAACATGTTTATCATTTTTTTCTATAACCTTTAATTTATACTAGATTAAGATTTTAAGATACTCTTGTGTATTCAATCAACTCTAAAATTATGAAAAATGCTTCATAGATTCAACACTTTTATTTTTTATATTTCACATTATTTTTTTCTCTTCTATTTAATAATTCAATATTCATTCAATTTTTATTCATTATAATAATTTTATTTAATAAAATTTAATATTTTATTCTACCATTTTTATTTTATATTTTTATTTTCTTTAATGTTTTTTTGTGTAATAAAGTCATTTTTTTTATTTTCAAATCAAATGAATCAAATATTTATTTATAGACAAAAAAATAATGAATTTTAGTAAAAATAAAAAATAATAAAAAATTAATTTATTATAAAATAATTGACTTCAAATTATTAAAGTGAAATAATAATCTAAACAATCACAACAACCAATAAAATTTTATAAAATATTATATATGACTCTCACTTCAACCATCATGTAACACTTCATTACTATCATTCAATTATTAAATAATATTTTTAAAACGAGTAACTCTCATATAGCCTCCAATGTTGTAAAACATGATCTTGCTCTTCTCCAACAACAAGCTTTACGCGTGATTCAACAAGATTCTATCAAATTCAATCATGATATATTTGGTAAAAATAATTTATAGCCATCATAATCCATATTAGAACTTTTTTTAAGTGATGATAATCAATTCTTTGAATGATTGAAGTATTAGATTATGTTTATTATTTATTTCATTTTAAAATAATTGTGGTTTAAAGTTTTTACACCCAGATTAAAGAATATAATAATATTATTATAAGATATTATACTTTATTAAATTAATTCTATAAATATATTAAAAATAGTGTAAAATATAATAATTAAATAATACAATTGAAAAAAGAATAATCATTTATGTATTGAAAAGTGAAAATAATATTTATTTTAAAATAAATTTAATTTATTAAAATAATACTCATTTTAAAATACAGAAGTATTATCTTATCGTATATTTTTGAGGTTCTCAATGAGGCAAAATTCAATTAAACATATTTCACTTATAACGCTAAAGAAAATTTAACATATTTATAAGATAATCATAGTACCACTTATCATCAATCCTAGATATTAGGTCTACACTTAGTTCTATACAAATCAGAATTAGTGTTCAAAGTTTATTATTATTGTCAGGTAAAACATCTTTAAATGGATCACATTTATAACATCGTGGTGTATTATAAAATCAAAACTTATAATGTAGAGTAGTTTGTTGTGTAATTCTGCTGTAAGTAAGTGCAATATTATAATATCTCAGAGATTAGTTGTGTTTTAAAGAATTATTCAACATTTTTTTTTATGATTTTAAGTAAGGGTTTAAAGTTGTTTGGTTGTGAAAAAATAAATGAGAGAAAATAAATTGAGATTTTGATGTTAATAATAAGAAAATTTGTTAGGAATAAATTTTGTTATTATTTTACTCATGCATAATCATTGGTCAATAATAGTCTCTTCTACTCAACTATTAATATTGTCTCTTCTTGCTCTTACCATATAGGAATTTTGACTCAATAATGAGATCATTTTATTACTTAATTAATAGACGGTGTCTCACACTATTAAATACAACAATATTAAGTTCCAACAATGATATACAAACATGAATTATCAATTCTCAGTATTTTGTGGATATTAAACCTAACACAATGTCTAGGCATTAACATCAATTAGATGGAGACTTGGATCTAAGAACAACCAATATCATTCATATGTCAAGCCGTACCATGAAAAAATATTTTAGAGAATTAATCCAAAATAAACATTAAGAACGAAGAATCATCAATATTAGAATAAGTAAAATTACATAAAACACCATGACCGAATGAAAGATGAGTATATAATGACTACATCTACCCCTCCCCCCAACAAAAAGATTTCTAGCTACACTTACTCATCGTAGTTGTACGGGTAATCTCGAAAAGACAAATTCAGAGAGCCATTTGCAAGTGTCACTGCGAGCAACACTTTCACATTTAATCCCCCTCTCATTTTATCCTATTGAGACCAAGGTGAACCTACTCCTTTTCTATACATGCCCCTGAATGTGGTCTAGTGAGTTTTGCTTGTAGAAATTTGGTCTTCGGAAGATCCTTGTGTGTTGCTTGGTGAATTTCCAATCCTTTTCACCCGTTTTTGATAAATATGCTAGAAAAAAGTCCACACAAGTAACATTTTTCATAAATAAATTGGATTTTTTTGTATTGTTTGCTTGTAAAATAAGTCGATAAGTGCTTACATATTTTACGTAATTTTGACACCTATCAACTCTCTCCAACTTATCTTTTTTTATCCTCAACCAAAATCCCCTTAGATGGTTCAAAAGTTTTGCAATGCATGTTTCATGATAAGGTTAAGTGACTATGTAAAAGATTTTTTAAAAGCATTTGAAGGAAATGATATTCTTTCTAATGCAAATTTGTGATCAACATCATAAATATCCACAAACCATAATAGCATGAAGATAAACTACTTGCTTGACTAAAGTGAGATTTCAAAACATGTCTAGATCAACAGCTAATTGCTCGCCACAATCATGATCTACTGAGTATCTTTCAATGATTAGTGTTTCCCTCATAATTAGATTATGCATGAACTATAGAAATATTTTACATTTTATCTAAGTAATATCACAAGATACATTATCATTCATAGATAACTAAGATCTTTCTTTTGTTTGTAAGGTGACTGGGCTTAAAAAAACATTAGTTTTTCTTTGGATTCAAAAGTATAAATATAAGAGATCAAAATTTCCTTAGATTAATCATTATTTTTCAAAACGTCTCTTTCTTTTAATACAACTCCTTTGCAACCTTGTTCTTTTGGTGATATTTTCTTTTGTATGATTTTGACATTTGATTTTTCCTTTTGTTTTGTTGTCAAATGAAAATTTCTTTTTCTTTTTCTTTTCACCATTACTTAAGACAAGGTAGTGGACATTGTTTTTTTAAAATATGATAAAGGTTGTAACATTTAAAGAAAAACTAATAATTTTAGGCTCAAGGGGGTTGTCAAATGATCACAATCTCCTTAGGTAGGCTTTTTGGTCAAGTAGTTTTCACTAAAAATCAAATAATTCATTGATCATATTCATGACTTCAAACCATTTAGGTAATAGCAAGACTGATGCAAAATACACATACTTAACATTCATTTCCACTCTCATTATTTAAGTAAAATATGATGTTGCACACATCTCACTTTGGCAGGCTTAAAATTTTAGCTCACACGGACATGTTTTCATTAGACAATAGTGAAATCAAATTTTATGTAAGCAACTAATTTATAGTCATACTGTATTTCACAAATAGCCAAATGTTGATCATGAATGAAGCATTTTGAAATAATAAAAACATTTTCATGTCATTTTTCTTGAGATTTTTCATTAACCTGACTTTTGTGATTCCATGCATTTCGGCTAAAACAAATTTTCAAAAAATCAACCAGTATAAATCATGAAAACATTACAATTTCACATGTATATGCTTCAGATTATCTCATGTATTGCACCCCTTGGAGAAAAGATTAGATTGTCCTCATGAAATAAACAAGGAGTGGTCCTCATGGATTTCTCGTTTAGCCCCCCCTTTTGTAGCAAAATGTGCCTAGTGCACTGCACTATGTGGCTCGACCCACAGACTGTCTACTACGATATGTACATATTTTTTATTATTCAACTTTATTATCACATACTCGTCGATATTCAAAGGAGAAAGGAATTTATCGTCAAAATATTCATAATATGTTGGAAACTTGAGTGTGATCATGCACTTAGTACAAAACGCCAACACACCAAAATTTATTGTGCATATATTTTTTAGTAAACATATTATATAACAAACAAAAACCATAAACATTTTAAACAAATAATAAAATTAAAATGATAAAAGGATAAAAATTTCACAATAATGTAGCAAATTGAAATACCAGTCTAGTTATCACTTTCATTAGCCATCTCCTCATAATCTTCTTATTTAATTCCATCTTCTTTATCATCTTCAGCTTGTGCATGTTTTCTCTGTTGTTCCACTCACACTTGCATTACCACTTTCCCACTCACAGTATAATGACTTATTAGTAGGCCATTTCAAGTAGCTGATGAATTTGTTTTGAGTAGGTATCAGCTCATATGGAGCTAGTGGTTCCTGAATCCTCAACTACAAATTGTTTAATAATTCATTAATAGATAGCGTACCTCTATGGTATGCCTCAGTGACATCCTAACCATAAGAAAAATAAGCTTTCATAGTAAAATTCATGCCATCAAAATTTGTTGCTCCATGTTGGGGCTCAGTTGGTGCAATAGAAGGTTATGGTGGTGGTGGATACATGCTCTCTCTGCGATCAGACCAATACCGTGCGACAAAGAAATTATCAAGTTTTGACAAAGTGTTTACACCAAAGTTATGCAAAATCCCATGATCAATATGAGAAAGTTAAGGACATGTATGTTTGATGAATCTAAAAACTCCCATATTTTGTTGGAGATCGTCCTTTTTATATCAACTTGCTTGCCTTTTATAATGTACCAAATTAGTTGTGTGTTTTGCAAGATTACAGAGGAGGTGTGGCTAATAGGAGTAACGTTGTAATTAAGAAAGGTATCCAAATTTAGGTTTGGATGGTAAAACCAGATCTTTTGAAATGGATAAAACGTTCATTTCGTCCCAACTCACAAGTTTTCCCTGCTTAAAAAATATTAGCCATTATCTCATTATAATCCT